TATTTTGTCCTCATATTGTAGAACATTCAAGAAGAACCTTTTGAAGGACGAAAAAGTGAAAAAAACGATTGAATATAAAAAATCAATAAGTACCATTTTATAAACAAGAGGTAACAAAATTTCTTCTTAGTCCGAACATGCTTGTATTCGTGATGCCAGAAAGATGACAGCATTACACCCAAAACTATTGCTGCTACCCACCTTAAAGTATGCCAATCGGCTCAGAATCTGAGTCGATTTAGCTATGTCCATCTATCTCTCTGTGCGTAAAGCTTGTGCGCACCCTATAGGTAGCGATTTTCAAGATAATTTGATAAACCTTGGCACATGGCATATGCTTCAATAGAAATTGGAAATGGTTAAAAGCGATCCATTATTTCGGCCAGCTCCATAAAACAATATCTCCCGAATAAAGCTTTTGAGTTCGTAAGGATCAATAATGCCGATTTTTGTAATGATCGGGCTTCATTTGACTCTAGCCACCTTCAGAAGGAGAAAATTCACTTTTAAACACTAAATTCCTCTACCAAAATTTATAAGAATAGGCCCATATTTACCCTTACTCCCACATAAGAGCTCACTTGTAGAAAAATCTCTTTTTTGTCAACAAAAAGTAAAAAATATTCTGGAATTAAGATAAATTAAATGCATTATTATTTAAAAAATGGTCGGCCATGCCCGACTAAACATTCAAACTTGTTATATATTGAAAATTTTTAATATTTTTACAATTATAGAGTAAAGTTCATTACGATGACAAAGAAAACAAAAACAAAATGTTTAATATTATTTTAAAAGTTTTTATTAAACAAAAACCTATTTCTTAAAAAGCCGCATAATGGTTCGAAGTTTGAATATATCTGGCGATTATTTAAAAAAAAAATAGATTTTAAATGCATATTCGGGCATATTAGGCCAATATCAAAATTTTACTAAAAAATTTTTAAACGTTAAGTTAGGTTTAACGTTTTTAACGTGTTAAAACCTAAGAATATCGCCAGATATTATAAATCGTACTATATATCCGTAACTTTAGCTTATTTCATAAAACTAATATCAAACAAATTCAAAATCTATAACTTATTAATTAGTTAATATACTGAAAATACATGCATATTTTTATAATTAATTAAAATAACAATATTTTAATAATTATTTAAAATAAGATTTATAATGCTTAAAGTTTTCTAAAACTTGCTTAAAATTATCTATCGGTTTTAGTTACATCTTAAAATAAGCCTGATTTATATAATTGACTTTTATATGCCTTAAAAATTAAATAATTAAAAATAATTGAAATAAAAAAACGTGAATATCAATTGATCACAAAATAAAATTTTATAATATAATAATAAATTTGGTAACAAAATAATAAATATTTGCTTGAAATATTAAAAGCGAGAGTTAAATTTTGGTCATGTTAAGTTATTTTATTAGTTGTCACAACATAACTTTTGTAGGATCAAACAAATATCACTTAACTTTCGCTTTATTTCTCTTTTATGTGGTAGTAATTGTTACAATTATAAAAATATATAGATTTATTTTGAATTTATTTTGAATATCAATGGATCACATTTCGTTAAACTCGATCACAATTATTATATAGAACCATTCTAATAATATTTTGAACCATATCTAGGTTTCTCTTTAAAACTATTGTACAAAAAAAATAAACCAACAAAATTCTTAATATTATAGTAGTGCCTAATTATAAAAAGGGTAATTATTAAATAACAAATTCATATATGAATATTTTCAAAAATATCGTATAAACAATTTTAACAAACTTTGTTAATCATATTAACTAGTTGTTTGTACAAATACAATCACGACTGCGGGGTTTACAAATTTCACGATGATCCAATCGTATGCCGCAGACATCACCAAAGCCGGGATCTAAAAAAATAAAATAAATCTTTTTAATAGGTCTCTTGTAGGAAATAATATACTAGACGAAAACTGCCTCTTATAGGGGACAATTTACGAAAAACGAAAAATGACTCTTACAGGAGACGGTTTTTTTATACAAAAACTGTCTCTTATGGGAGATAATTTTCTTTTATTTTATGAAACGTTTATAAAACAAAATTTTGTTTGATTATGATTATTCAATTATTACCTGCAGAATCTACACCTACAATACGCATATACAGTACCGACATTAAGGTCAAGGCTGTTTCGACGAAACTAAATACCTCAATCTTTAAATGGCCCAAATGATATAGACCAGCAAAACGACGATGTAAATCCACCAGATATTTATTATCTATAAATATTAAAATCAACAATGATTAATTATTTATTTAACTTAATTAAAAATATTATTCAATTAAAACTTACTTTTTTCAATATCAATCAACTCTACAGATCTTAATAAAGTGGTGCCTTGATTGAAGCCAAATGTGAGCCACGATGAGGTACAGAATAGAAAAATACGCCTCTAGCCGAACGCCAAATGGTGCCGCTGCTGGTCGACCACTCTCCCAAGCGTCCACAATAATTTGCTTTATAAATAGACCACCTTTCGAATGACCCACCCATATAATGGGATGACCATAGCCAACACGTTGCTTGATCAACAGTTCAGTCATTTCTCTGGCACGTTGTATTAAATTTGAACGTGGTTCTTTCTTTTTCCACAGCGGTCGCCATAAATGCTGATCTGTGGTATAGTTTAAGGCAATCACACGCACTCCCGGACAATCTATAGGCAGCCAATCTCCCGGCCAGCAGCGAGAATAGTTTGGATCATTGGGTGAAGGTTTTGCAGATTTAACTTTTATAGTTTGTTCTTTATTATCATTGGTATTGTTGCTGTTTTTGTTGGATTCCTTGTCGCTTGATTTGTTATTGTCATCTTGACGTTTCGAATCATGTTCAGCTTGTAGTAGGCGACCATTGTCATGCATACGCAAGCGGAAGGTAGGAAAACTGTATTCGATGCCATCGCATATTTGAAGATCTTTGGGTTCGCCGCATATATAGGAATAACTGGAAGTGAAGAAGGAATATAATTTAAAGGAGATCTTTAAACAGTTGTCTAAAATAGCTTTACTGATCTGTATGATCAGTGATATAATGTTAATAAAGGTTCGCCTTTCTCGTCTATCTCCAGAAAATCTATCAGATTGTAGCTACTAAGTATCTCGGATCCATACCCTCTCTATATTTTAATAAAAATATCATTGTTATATAACGATAATTTCTATCAAACTCTTTAGGTATGGTCAATTGGTCTGTCAGTTCGACATTATTTAAAATCTCACCTTTCTGTCTAAATAAAACTTCTACAATACCGATCTACTGATAGTAACTGATCGTGATAATCAGTCTTCTCAAGTTCAAGTGTAAAATATCAGGGAAATATCACAAATCTTAGATATTTCGGAGTGTTGTTGATTTAAAATTAACTAGAACTTCAGTTTCTCATCTTATTGCGACAACTTCAGATCAGATAATCTTGACTTCAGTTCAGGAGTCCAAGTTCTGCCCCATTATGTTCTTCTTGTGACTTCTGCAAATATATATTAAGAAAAAGCAACTGTATTGTACTACTTTCACAATCTTTTGATGTTTATCTCTCATAAATCGGTTGTCGAGTGACCTAGATTTCGTTTGCAATTGTAGAAGATTAACGTTTCATCGTTAACATGATCGACAATTTAAATTATTTCTTTATAAACCGTTCACTATTGACGCTCTCATTGAAAACCTAACAATTCCCATCGATCCCGAAATAATTTAACATTTTGGGATCGTAGAAGCCCGAATCAACAAGAACTTTTCAATTTTAGATTGTTTAACAATAAAAAGTTTACATTTAAAAAATAAATACTCACTTATTATCATCAGCTTCGTCGATCGAATCTCTTTCATGCGAATGCCGATGATGGACATCGGCATGAGCAAATCTCGCTCTTTTCTTATGATGCGGGGGATGTACGGCACTTGTACGAGAATGTCTTGGACGCTTTGGTGGTCGCACTGGTGGCTTAGGAGGTCGCTGAAACTCAACAGGTCTTCTTTCATTCTCCCACAAACCCTGTTTCCAAGTATTCACCAAAGAACCATGAAGACCATGTATAAAAAACTATATCGGCACGTATCGGTTTCACCCGCTGGAGGTTCGGCTAAAATATTAAGCGTACAACATTTTGTGGCTACATATTCCTCAATGGATGATAGTTTTTTGACGTTATTTGGAAAATTAGGCAATGAATAGCGCGGTTTGGGGAGAAGGGGGAAATAAGGGTTGCCGTTGAGTTGGGGGAAGAAGGTGGCGTTAAAGCGTCTGGACCATTTGGTAGGGTGGGTGAATCCGGTAAACTTTCTATGCCATCACGAGATTGCGTATTTTTAGTAATTTTAGTATAGGCTCAATACGATGGGATACTGGAAAAACGTATATTTAACAAAGCGTATTTTTATATTTAAACCTTAGACGTTAAAAAAGGGATCTCATACCTTGTACAGAGGATAAATTCAGGGATATGGTATTAGCAGCAAAGCAAATAGATTAGTTAAAGCCTGACGGCTGGAAGCAATACTACGTATAACTTTTAAAAAGCGCACATCCCTTATACCCTTAATACCTTGGACCACACCATTGGCCAGAGGAAATATTAATGCGCAAAATAACGCCAAATGCCACACGCATACTTTTATTTTCTTTCCTAAAAATTTCCAAATTCCCAATGTAAAATTTCCAATCAATAAAGAATCCATTTTCAAAATTCTCTTTACTCACACTTGCATTATTTTATCTTCTCTGCGGCTTTCACCAATTCCGTTACGGTTTGTTCTTCCTCCTTGCTATCGATTTCAATATCATTCAGATACAATTTCGATAGACCACATCTTCTTCAGAATAATAGGAATTTCTTCGTCTTCAGTTCGTTTTTTATTCGCTTGTCACACCTTCATAATCTTCACTCTCATTTGTACGTCGTAGAATATTTCATTTTCTCTATCACTTGCATTTTCAAATGCATTTGGTATTCTTCGCCATTATCGGTTTCTTCGTCTTCGCTGCAGCAACTCATTAGTGAAGAATCACAACCAGAACTCTCTGCTTTCTTCAGCGGTGATCTATCCGTTGTCGTTGCATTATTTTGTTGATCTCTACTTGCAATTGTTTTTGCTGCTGCTGACTTTGTTATTGTTGTACTACAGGAACTATTACTATTCTCATCACTGAAACCCATTGTTGCTGTTGTTGTTGGATTGAAATTAGTATCATTGATGATGTTATCACAGTTATTCTTATTATTGTATCATTTGTCAGCTTTTTGGTTTCCATTTGCTTTGAAAATTATTTGATTTATTTTTAGTTTAACACATGATTTGTTGGGTTTAAAGTGGGGTGTGTTTTAATTTTCTAAAAAAGAAAAAATTTATGTAATTTAATAACTTATATAGTACTAGCGTACAATGGGTGCTTCGCCACCCTTATCGATGTTAAATTAAACCGAAATTTTTATTATTCATAAACGGATAAGGGAGAAGACAAAGGGGGGAGAAGAGGCGGGGGAGAAACCGGGGACAAAGGGGAGAAAGACCCGAAAAGGAGAAGGGCCGAACGCAGAAGGGAGCAAAGGGGGAGAGAGAGAGGGGGGCAGAAAAAGGGGGGCGAGAGCGAGCGAGGAGCGAGCGAGCGAGCGAGCGAGCGAGCGAGCGAGCGAGCGAGCGAGCGAGCGAGCGAGGCGAGCGAGCGAGCGAGCGAGCGAGCGAGCGAGCGAGCGAGCGAGCGAGCGAGCGAGAGAGCGAGCGAGCGAGCGAGCGAGCGAGCGAGCGAGCGAGCGAGCGAGCGAGCGAGGAGAGAGCGAGAGAGCGAGCGAGCGAGCGAGAGAGCGAGCGAGCGAGCGAGCGAGCGACGAGCGAGCGAGCGAGCGAGCGAGCGAGCGAGCGAGCGAGCGAGCGAGCGGGCGAGAGAGCGGCGAGCGAGCGAGCGAGCGAGAGAGCGAGCGGGCGAGCGAGCGAGCGAGCGAGCGAGCGAGCGAGCGAGCGAGCGAGCGAGCGAGCGAGCGAGCGCGAGCGAGCGAGCGAGCGAGAGAGCGAGCGAGCGAGCGAGCGAGCGAGAGCGAGCGAGCGAGCGAGCGGCGAGCGAGCGAGCGAGCGAGCGAGCGCGAGCGAGCGAGGATCGAGCTAGCGAGCGAGACGAGCGAGCTAGCGAGCGAGCGAGCGAGCGAGCGAGCGAGCGACGAGCTATCGAGCGAGCGAGCGACCGAGCGAGCGATCATCGTCTATCGATCTATCTATCTAGATCTATCTATCTAATCTATCTATCTATATACTAACAGTTAAGGAATAAAGAAGTTCCGTCATATAAATTCCTAAAAGCTACCTAATTTTGAAAAAGTACCACATACATGCCCGATTATTTTTGAATAGGTAATAATTTTAACATTTTTCTTCCAAAAATCGTTTTTCTTAAAAAATACTATAACTTGCATTTCGTCGTTATTTTATATTTTTACATATTAAAATTTTTAGTAAATATGTACTTAACACAGGGCATATTTTGTTAATATTATTGAGTAATTTTTATTAAATTAAAATTCTGTCATACTTTTTATTAAACTAAGTGCACTAAGTTTTCCAAAACGTCTTAATTGCAATAGTTTTACTGCACTTTTTCCACTTTTTTTAAAATTTATTTTGAAATATTGAAATATATTTTCTTTGCAAAGTAATTTATTTCAATTTAATTTTAATTCAATTAAAATGTTTATTCAATATAAAATTTCAATAAATAATAAAAAGAACCACTACCACCCACTCGAATGTCGGTCGGCCTGTTAATGAACTTAAACTTTGTGTGATGTAAATTGTCGTAAAAAAATTTAAAACAAAAAGCAAAAATAAAAATAAATAAATAAAACAAAAAATAATAAAAATGTAAAAACACGAAAAAAACAACAGAAATGCATTCGCGTGCATGCATGAACAAAATAGAAATCTATGGTCACAAGCCATAATCACTTAAGAATAAATTTACTACATTTATTTGTAATTCATATTACTGTAGCCAAGTTTTCTAAAATGATATGAATTTTTTTGAAAGAGATATTTTTCTCGAAAGTTTGTTTTTCAAGTTAGGTTACTATTGCTTGTTACCACAGAAATATAAATTAGACAATTTAGCGGCAATTAGCAAGAGGAAGAAGAGGGTACGAGCGAAAATGCTTAGAATATTTTGCATAAACAACTTGTAAGAATAATCCACTTAAGCCTTTAGACATTTTATTCTCGTTTTTCTTTTCCTACTTGTAGGTTCAATATGTTATTCTGCTTTTTATGAATGAAAAACAAAAATACGCCATTACTTCCCAGCAAAAACTCGGTCATGTCGTGTACTTATACAACCACGTATTTTTTAATGTCTACTACTTATTGCATTACATTTAAGTATTTTTATAATGACTCATACGTATATAATCAGTAAGTACTTTACTTTAAATTTTGCCGTACTTTTTTAATTCCCTTTTGTAAGCGGTAAGTGGTAAGTTATTGCCTTCAATATCATCACTGTGTTAAAATAATGCGTTAAAAGCGGCTAAATGTAAGTTTTTGCTGGTTTATAACATGAACAAAATTACACCGATACCTACAGTATGCCAATAAAGTTCTTTAACAAAATTATTGGTCTGGTCTCTTGAAAAATAACTAAATGTTTTACAGGAAAAGAGTTAAGAAAGTGGCCGAAAGGGTTAGAAAAGATGTTGAACGTTAAGGTGATTTTTTAAAAGATCAAAAGTAGCCAGATTTTTGATGGGTATAAAAATGAATTTTATTATTATCGCCAAACTTTTTCATCATACTGTATACTACATATTTTGGGCAAAACAACCACTGTTGTAATTTGTAAAAAATGTAAACTGTAAACAAACAATTTAAAAAAAAAAACAGATTTAAAAAAAACTAAAATAAAAACGCAATATGTCTAGAATTCCATAGTAGGCATTGTAACAAAGAAAGTATTATATGGAAAAAAATAAATTAAAAAAAATAAGAAATAATCTCCTTATATATGTAACAGAAATTTATTTATAGTAAATTTGTCGTAAATAAAAGGAAAACAGTCATCATAAAGAAAAAACCGAAAAGGTTAAAAAAAAATACAACAAGTGTGATGAGAACAGACAATGGCGATAAAATAAAAAGTCTTATTATAGAGTATATATTTATCAATTCAATTAACAAAAGTCTCCTTTATTATAGTTATTAAATGACTAAAACTTTTTGTTATCATTAACTGTAATTTGAATACAAAGATTATATATTTTTAGATTCAATAAACTAATGGGCAAATTTTTATACATATATGCCCTACATTGTAATTGGCTGTAGTTTATAATGCTATATCCGACTATCGAGAGTCCTAAATAATTTGAAACGATCTCATCAGAAGTTCTTCATTAAATATATGAATCACTTTCATTAGTATAATGAGCAAGTTCGTTTACAGAATGAAATTTTTCATTCTTTTTTACATGTTTTAAATGTGAATGAATATGTTTCATAAATGTAATGAATAAGTTTCATAAATGTAATGAACATTTTTCATATATGTTATGAAAATTTTTCATATATACAATGAAACAAACTTGTTTATAGCAATTTTAAAGCCATTCATTGGAAAAAATGAAGATCATTTTCATTGGAAAAAATAAGTTCTTTTTAAGATCTATATATTTAATTCTGAAACTCAGTTTGAGACCAACAAGTTAGAATGTGGGCGGCCAGGAGCTGATTTCATTTCATTAATTTTGTTTTTTTTTATTAAAAATTTTTTATTTTTCTATAAGTCTATATTAATATAATAACATACACTGGCAATAAGTAAATTTAAATTGATTTCCGAAAATCGGAATTTCAATATTATGGACCCACACTTTCGGAATTAAGTATCCCCACTATAGAGGAGTGTGTAATGGATTTGTGCTGATGTTTGTAATGCACTAAAATATTGGTCGTATACAGATCTTAAAGTATACCGAACAACTAAAAATCTCTTGCTGAGTCGATTAAATGATGTCTGTCCGTCTGACCGTCCGTGTCACACGGAACATGTGTCCATGTAAACAATGTTATCAAAGTACAGGTGCCAATTTTCAATATATTTTGATAAAATAATATTTTTTATTGAAATAGTCTATTTCTTGTTCTTTAAAAAATAGTACTTTATTTAAGTACTTTTGTTAACAACAGGTAAACGAAGCTTAAAAATTAACTAATTAAATTAGTGTTATATTATTACAATTTTAGATTTCCAAATTATATATACATACTACA